GTTGGTGGTCCTGGGAACTGTGTAAAAATGGGTTGAGCAAGCCATTGGGGTGCAAACTAGTAAGCAGCACTTCTCCATGGCCTCTGCATCAGCTCCTGTACCCAGGTTCCTGCCCCGTTGGAGTTCCTGCCTTGGCTTTCCTCAATGGACTGTGGCTCAAGACATGTAAGCCAAATAACCCCTTTCCTCCCCAAGTTGCTTTTGGTCATGGTGTTACATCGAAGCAATGGAAACATTAAGACAGACATCTTCTACCATTGCAAGGGTTAAAGATATCTGAGCAGGGGCTTGGACGATGCAGAGCAAACGTGAGAACCTGAGTTCAGATCTAGCACCACGTAAATTCTGGGCACTATGATGTAAGCCTATAATCCCAGAACTGACGTGGGGATGATAACAGAGACAGGAGATTCCTGGAGCCTTCTAGACACCTTGACTAGCCAAATTTGTGAGCTCTCAGTTCAGTGAGATATCCTGTCTGCAAAAGCAAACAGAGGAAGAATGCTGATGTCCAGCTCTGGCCTCCATGTGCATGCACACATGTGCACACACACACACACACACACACACACACACACACATACACATACACATAGACATATGCATAGACAAACAAATACAACACACGTATTCTACACAGTGCAAGCACACCTAGATATTGACAGGAATAAATGGGGCACATCTTGCTTTTCTTCAGGTATTGGGGATGGAGCTAAGACCTTGAAAATGCCAGGCCAATGTTGCAGGATATTTGATCCCATTGTGAACCCCCAAATTGTGAACTGTAAAGCCTTGTTTTATTGTTTGGTGTGGTTGAGCCCTAACACACACCTTTAATCCAAGAGCTTTCCGTTTGTTGTAAACTGGTGATTATGGTGTGGTTCACCCAGCCCTAATATACACCTTTGATCCAAGAGCTTTCTGTATACCAGATCTAATAAAGTTAACCCTAAGTCACGAGGTGGATCAAGAAACCAGCTGACAGGGATTAAAGAGTAGGAGAGACTTTGAGTAGAGGGGTATTTAAGACAGCGTGGAGAAGAAGAGCTTTTAGCTCAAGCCCTGGCTCCTCAGCTCCCTGGCTTTTTGGGGCTTTGAACTAGCAAGCCTTCAGCCTTGGGTTTTTTAGCCTTTTCATTCTGGGCTGTCAGTTGTACTAGTGAGCCTTTTAGGTTTTTTCCATCTGGACCTGAGCTGAGAAGGAAGATCAGCTGGGTGCTTTCTCTGCCTCTCTGAGCTAGCCAGTTTTTACCCCAGCATCTGGCTTCTGAGTCCTTACTGGTAAAATAGAATGGTTGGGATTTTCCATCACGTAAACAACATCCCAGTGATTCAGCCCTGAGCTATCTTTGTACTTTTTGTTTTGTGAAAATTTCCTAAGTTGCCCAGGCTGGCTTTGAGCTCGTGTCCCTCCTGCCTTGGCCTCCTGAGCAGCTGGGATGACTAAACCTGACCATAAGGCTTGGCTGCAGTCTGAGTCTCTTGAAACTTTCAAGTGCCACATCCAATCTTTTTCCTCACGGGTGCAAACTGGGTGCAAGCATCAGATTAGCCCAATGATGGTCACCATGGATTCCCTGAGTTTTCCTGAAGGTCTCCGTGTACTATGATCCATCCATTTCTGCCATCACTGCCTGGTGACCAGGCTATTGGTCTGGTGGGTACCGTCTTCAAGAGCCAGAAATGGACAATCTGGTCTCTTGTTAGTTGGAAGTTGAGACAGTTCCAAGAGCCCTTCCCTCCTAAGATGGGTCTCATGTAGCTCAGGCTGACTCCAAACGTAGCCAAGGGTGACCTTGAACACCATTTCTCCTGCCTCCCAAGTGCTGGAATTGCAGTGTGGAGCACCACACCTGGTTTATGGTGCTAGGGCTGGACCTGGGGCTTTGTGCCTGGTGGGCAAGCCCTCTGCCCACGAAGCTTCAGCCCCATCTGCAATTCCATCTAGCTCTGCTGGGGTTTTTGGTTGCTTAACTGCTGCAGGCACACAGACAACAAGAAGGCCCCTTCCAGATGCAGCTTTTGATCAGGAAGTAGAACAACACCTGTCCTGAGAGGGCTATCCCACCATGCTATGCACTGCCTCCTGTGTGGAAATCCATGGAAACACCATCCTCAATCTGCTGGAGGGGGCAAACCCGTGCTCTTCCAGCCACTCTCCCTCACTGTGGGGACATCTGATCACAGGAAGGGACATGTGCTTCTTCAAGGGCAGATGTTTCATCTGAAGTACTGACTGAGTATGCCAAAACATTGGGATGTATTAAGGAAAGGCCTGGCCAAACAGTTGATTGTTCAGTTTACATCAGGCTGAATGTCTGGGCGGCTGGGAACATCTCCAGAGCCAAACAGACCACATGACTGCTTCTCCCAGAGATAGCTGGGTCAGGAGACAGAAGACTGTGGACTAGAAGGGCAGAGGAGGGAAGAGATGTGCCAGCTGCCTTTCTGTCTCAGGTGGCTACATCACAGAAGCACAAGCTAGCAGTCTGAATTTGGTGTTGTATCACTGAGGAGGGTATGGATCTGGAGTCAGGGTTGAAGTAGCACATTCCCTCTGATGCTGGAGAGGGTAGCAGCTTGCACTGATGGGTTCTGGCAAGTTCAGGTTAACTTTTGCTTATAGATATTCTCTGATTACTGAGGTTGCCTGGCTGTAATGTAACTCTCTCTCTCTCTCTCTCTCTCTCTCTCTCTCTCTCTCTCTCTGTGTGTGTGTGTGTGTGTGTGTATGTGTGTTTGCTTCTCTTTGGGAGGCTCAAAAGCCCAGGATGAGCTCATCATACTAGCCACATCAGCAATGACTTTATTTCTAGTTAAGTGCATATTTGAAGGAACTGGAGGTTGGGACTTTGACTAATCTTTTTGGGGGATGGGCCATGGTTCAACTCCCTAGTTGAACCCTTACTTTTCTCAGACCCAAGACATTTCCAGCTGTGGCTCTGGTACACATGGTAAGTGAGACCATGACCACCATGCTCAGAGATGGCTTCAGCACCTGAAAGGTCTGTGGTCTTACAAACTCTCCATACTTTGGGGCTGCAGGAAGGATGGGGAAAGACAGGGCAATCCCACCAGGAGTTCTGAATGTGTTTTTTTTTTTTTTTTTTGGTTAGGAAGCCTGGACCTAGCTCTAGGAGGCTGGCTCTGGGAAGTCAGCGCCTTGGAGGTCAGTTAGATGTTTCTGGCCCAGTCCTCCACCTGCAGGCTCTCTGAGTGAGGAGAGTCCTCATGTGGTAGAAGCTAATCTGCTGGGCTCCTGGGGTTGGGAGGCTCACAGCTGTGGGTGGATAGGAATACTCCAGATACCGAGGGAATTCTGTCTCCAGGGGTCTGGTGCTTAGCAGCCATGAAATCCCTTTTGGAGAGTGGTGGAGCGGTGGAGGCCCATGCCCAGGACTGGAGATCCTTGGATCTCCCTAAGAGGAGGGACTCTTGGGCTTCAGCAATGGCTCCACCAAAGGAAGGCTCTCCCAGCCCACCAGCTAGTCATGGAAGAGTTCTTCCTGCCCTTCACTATGGATAGGAGGAATAGACACATCTCATCGTGGAGTGGATGACGGACCATCAGAAATGGAACACCAGGTTCAGGGCTGCGGCTGAGTACTTGCCCAGCATGCAGGGGCCTCTGGGCTTCATCCTCAGCACTGCATAAACCTGGCTTGGTATTGTATGTCTATAATCGAAGCCCACGAGACATAAAGGCAAGTCCCGAGACATAAAGGCAGGGGGACCAGAAATTCAAGGTCATCCTCAGATACGGATTTTGTGCCAGCCTAGACTACACAAAATCCTACTTGGGGAGAGCAGGAACAGCTCCCACAGTGGCCCTGAGCTCTGCCTGTCCTGTTTTTGACGGTGTAGTTCATGATGTCATGTCATGTCACATGATGCTTTTTCTCTTTGGCCACCTGGGAACCCCTCTCCCACCTGCTGCTGGAGGACCAGGTGGAAAGTTGTAGAACTGAGCAAGGGGAGGGCAGAAAGAAACCGCTAGCTGGAGGTGGGGCGGGAGGGGGTGGTGTCTACAGGGTGAGACCGGCAAGGCCATTGGACGGGGCTGGTATGATCAGAAAACTCAGGAAGGGACTTCTGGAAACCCACTTGGTGGCCGTGGCCTCACTCTGGTTTCTGCCCTTGAAGCTGTGGACTTACTGAAGACACTTCAACAAGGAGCCTCAAGCCATCTCACTCCTCTCCTGAAGGGCAGCCAGGTCCCTGGATACAGGAGCCCTAGGCCAGCAATCTCACTGTTGAGAGGAGGATGAGAGGGGCCATGGAGGCTGACACAAGGTTTTCATGGGAGGTTTTTGGGGACTGAGCATAGGGGTCACAGAGCTACACCTCTAGCCTTCTTTTTACTTTTTCTTTTGAGAGCAGGTCTTATGGGGTTTCGTGGGCCTCCCAGCTCACTCTGCACCCCAGGTAATCTTTGAACCTGTGACCCTATTGCCTTAGCACTTCAGAGAAGCTGTGATGACAGGCCTGCCCCACTGTGGCTGGCGCCGACAGGTGCTTTCAAGTATTTTCTTTACTGAGACAAGATCCCATATAATGCTGGCTAGCCTCAGACTTGATATGCCATGGAGGCCCTCGACCCCGTTTCTTCTGCTTCCATCTCCCTGTGGTCCACGCAGCAGCTCTGTGGTACCGTGCCCAGAAGTGGAGCTTTGTGCCCGTCCATCATCCATCTGCCACCTGAGCTACATCCCCGGCCACACGCAAGTGTGCTTAAAGCTTAGCCACTGTTGCTTCTCAGAACCATAGTTAGAGATCCCCACAGCATCAGCAAAACACAAAGAAATAAGCACATAAACCAGGGTATCTATTTTACTTCAGTTAGCCAACAATCCTGAAATGCACAAATCAAAGACAATGCCTAGGGCAAACTGTTGTTCTTTGGAGCATCCCTCAAGCAGAGATGTGGGGGACTGTCCCCAGGAACACTCAGCTAGGCACAGCTCACCGCCCCACTCCGCCGAGGCAGAGGCTGGTGGCGTTCAGTACACGCCTTGTTTAGGCCAGTGCAGCTCCCGGGCGTAGACTCCTTTGCAGCTGCGGATCTCCCAGTCATGCTCCAAGTTCTTGTTCAGGCCCGGCACCGAGGAACGCCATCCGATGAAGCCTTGGGTGGTCTTTGGGACTGGGGGTGATGGAAGAGTCTGCAGTAGAAGTGCAAGGGGTTAGTCACGGGGAAGACTCCTTCCTGCCCACAGCGTGGATAGGAGAATGACACCTATCTCGCTGTAGGGAGAATGACCACACATGCTCCAGGAGTGGGGGTGCCTACCATGCCCCGTGGGGCCTGTCATGGGGAAGACAGGAAAACCAACAGTAAGCAGTATGTTCCCACCAGCCGGAGTTCGAGGTGCATGGCTCTCAGTTTTTATTTTTTTACTTTTTTAATTTGTGGTGTGTGTGTGTGTGTGTGTGTAGGCTAGAGTCTGGCTTTCGGGTGTTCATTAAGTTTCCTTTCTGCTTGTGTGGTAACACTCTGACTGAAAGGAACCCGGGGAAGAGAGGGTTTGTGTGATTTACAGTTCCAGTTCACAGTTCCTCACTAAAGTAAGTCAGGGCAGGAAGCTGAAGTAGAAACCTTGGGGCTCGTTGCTTGTTGGCTCATTCCTAGCTCACTCACAGGGCCATGTTGAGAAGGCATGTTATAAAGCCCAGGGCCACTTGCCTAGGGACGGCGCTGCCCACAGTGGGCTGAGGCCTCTCATATCAACTGGTAATCAAGAAAACCCCCATAACTGTCCATAGGCTAATCTGATCTAGGCGACGGCTCACTCGAGGCTTTCTTTTCAGATGACTGCAGGGTGTGTCAAGCTGACAAAGGCAACTGAGGCAAATGTCCTACTTAGGTTTCTATTCCGGTGACAAAGCACCATGACCAAAAACAATTTGGGAAGGAAAGGGTTTATTTCATTTCACAGCACGTATCCTATCATCCAGGGCAGTCAGGGTACAAACCTGAAGGCAGGAGATGATGCCGAGGCTGAGGAGGGGCTCTGCTTAAAGCTTGCTGCTCGTGGCTTGCTCAGTCTGCTTTCTTATACACCCTAGGACCCCATGCCTGCAGGCAGCGCCATCAGCCACAGTGGGCTGCAATCAGCAATATAGAAAAAGGTACTGCAAACTTGCCCACTGGTGAATCTTACGGAGGCATTTTTCTCAGTTGAGAGCTCCTTTTCCCAAAAGACTGTGCCTTGTGTCAAGTTGATACAGAACTAGCTGGCATAGCATGTGTCTTCCTCAATGGCTCCCAGCCTTGTGTCACTGAATCTGTAGGTCACTGGTTCAGACAGGCCACCTGGCCAGTGAGTTTCAGAGATTTGAATTGGGGGGAGGAGCAGCTTGCCCACGGAGGGGCCCGCCTGTGGCTCTTATGATGTGCCCAGCCTGCATTCCCTGATTTTTCTGTTTACTGAGGACCCCTTTCTTCCTCGCTTCTGATTGGTCAACAAGCACCCAGTCATGGCTGACACTCATCTCCCTCTGAAAATTGCTGGTTCCTGTCCCCAATCCTTCAAGCATACCATCCACAGAACCCCGGTCTCCCAGGCAGGTGCTTCGGTAACCCCAAGATACAGGAACCAGGGAGGAAGTGGAGACACAGAGTCCAGGCCACACATCCGAGACTGAACATGGGAACTGAACATTACTGTGGAGCTCAGGCTGAGATCTCATTGTAAATCTGAGCCTCAACTGCTTTCCTGGTCCCATAGCATGTGTGTGTCCCTGTGTGAACGCACATTTGTTTGTGCATTCGTGTGTCTGTGTGTGTGTGTATGTGCATATGAGTGCTTGTGTGTGCGCGTGTTGATATGTGCACGTGTTTCTACATGTGTGCTTGTGTGTGTGTACGTGTGTGCGTGTATGCATGTGTATGTGCTTGACCCACATGTGCAAATAGGTGTCACAACCCCTACTTGTGGGGCTCTTGTGCCTGCCCAGAGTAGCCATGTCCTCACTTCTGGTTGTTGGACGAACCACAGTTTGCCGTGGGACTTATTTCTTTTTTTTAGAAAATGGTGTAAAAGCAGTTTTGCAAACCTTGATGTATTTGTCCATGGGGCTCACTGGCCGGACACGGAAGTGGCCGGGCAGGTCGATCTTGGCCTTTGGGGTGTGTGGCTCTTCATCCTCAAGCAGCTGAAACAGAACCACAGACACAGGAACCTCAGGCTGAGGCTAGGACATGAGCCCTTCCTGGACCCCAGAAGGCCTCGTGTGATAGGCACTGGTGAAGCTCTGAGCAGAGCTGCTACTGGTCCCAGCACAAGCAGAAGGTGGTGAAAATGAGATCTGATCTGCTGAGTTAGTCCCGAGTGACCCTTGCTGAGGCCCTCCTACTAGTCTTGCAGCCCAGGAATCAATATCCCCCATCACTGGACCAGAGAAGACATCCCTGGTCGTGAACTCAAACTAAAAAACTAAAAAAAATGCCTGTGCCAGTTTTCCAATCAGAGAGGAACGCCCCACACTCTGGGAGAATTTAAAGGCATTTAAAACTCCCTGGAAACCCAATTTAATTACACACGAGGAATATTAATATTGGATCACTTGCGAACAGTACATTATTAAGGCCCCTACTTTATGCATCCAATTTCAAACCGTATAACTGTCTAAGAATTTTTAAAACCTCATTACAAATGGCATAATTTCAGAGCTGTGGGTGGGCTGCTGCTGGGGCTTCCGCTGCTGTAAGTTAGGAGGTTTTGAACCACTCAGTTCTGGTCACCATTTCCCTGCAGATGAAGAGGAACCATCTGAAGTCTGGCCAGAGGTAGTTACATCAGAAACTGGCCACCCCTAGAAGCCCTGCGGGCATTATGAGTGTCGTATATAAACTATATATATATATATAAAATGTATATATAGTAGGCTATATATATATATATATACACATACATACATGCATGTATATATACATGTATAATATATACATATTATATATTATTATGTATATTATGTATTATATATTATGTATTATAATATATATATATATATATATATATATATATATATATATATATATATAACCCACTCACTCTAGAAGCAGGTTTCGTGGGAACATTAGACTCCTAGACAATCAGAAAGCAATATCACTGAGCTTATGGTGGCTGCCTCTGTGATTAGAGCTCTCTCTCTCTCTCTCTCTCCCCATGTCCCCACCTCTTCCTATTGGGGATTCTTGCCCCCTCTAGATTCTGTCATCTGCACAGTCCCTTGCAGACATCTGAATGTGTGACCCATGCTTTAGGGAACACCTGGGAGGGAAGACACTGTCTCAGTTATTTCTTACAGGTCCCTTTGCCTCTAGGCCCACAGAGGGGGTCCCAGACATCTTTGTCCCACCTATGGCCCCAGTTAGTTAGGTGAGAGCTACCACCCCACTTCACAGATGGGAATCGGTCATGGAGCCTCCATGTGAGATCAAGATCAGCTGGCTCCTCACCTTGACACCCCTTTTGCTAGTTTTGTGGCCAGCTATCATTCCTTGAGCTCAATGGTCTTTTTATTAAAAACGGGCCTGCAGTGGCAGCCCTGTGCACCTGGCTGCTATACAAACTAGCTTGGTTCAGAGGATGTGCCTGGGACACACACCTCAGACCTTGAGAGTGCTCTGCAGCTCCTCACAGGAAGGAACCTCTGGATTCAGGGAAGCAGAAACACAGCCAATTATTTGATGTGTGTGTGTGTGTGTGTGTGTGTGTGTGTGTGTGTGTGTGTGTGTGT